AATCCAGCGTCACGGCCAGGGCGCCCTGGACGGCCGCTGCCGCTTCGCCCGCCTCCTCGGCCGGCGCGCGCATCCACAACGTGAAGTCGTCTACGTAGATGCGCCGGCGGAGCCTTGGCTCCAAGGCCCCAGCCCGCCGGCGCCATGGGAGCGTCAGGACGCTGAGGAAGAACACGGCTAGAGCGCACCCTGGGAGTAAACCAGAGCTGGGTGACCACGGCGAGCCGATTGCGCGCCCGACGCGAATCCGCCGGCGAGCAGCGCAGGCGCTGAGAGCCGGCTTCACAAGCCAGTTTGGCAGCCCCGCCCGCCTCAGCAGGCCCAGCAGCGACGCCAAGTTCACCTGGTCGTATGCCTTGCACCAGTCGAGCGCGGCTCCTGCGATGGATTCGGACATCGCCTCTGCTGTTTCCAATTCCAAGGCGAGCTCCCAGGCGAGCTCTTCAGCCCCCAATTGGACGTCCTCCCCCGCCCAGCTCAGCCGCCAGCGCGCGAAGTCACGGGCCCGCCCCGCCGCCCACAAGCGATACATGATCGGCAGCAGCCATATGGGCCGCCTGTCCAAGGGCCCCGCCCCCCGGCCAGGCTTCGGCAGAAGGAGCCCCTCTGGCTCTACCAGCTCGCTTGGCGACTCGCCGACGGCCTCCACGGCCTCGAAGAAGTCGGCCACCCAGCCCAGCAGCTCCTGAGGCAGGAGGCGCAGCTCCGCCACCGTCCAACCATCGAGCCCCGGCTTCTTCCGCCGCTTGGGCATGCGGCGAAGCAGCCACTCGACGTCAGCAGCTGCCCACTGCTGCCTGAGGTCGTTCACACGACATGGCGATGCGAGGAAGTGCCAGCATGGATTAAGGCGCGTGTTCTCGAGGCGGGCCCCGCTTATATTCAGTACCGGCGCGCTCCGTCGCCAAATGAGGCGACAAGGAGAAGGTCGACGACACGTCAGAGTGACCTTTCGCCAGAGTGACCTTTGGTGCGGGCCCAATGGGGTCCCCCGATCGCCGAACTCGGCGCGGTAGTGGCGTCTTGCGCGCCCGCGTTCGGCCCCGCGGCCCCCCCAAAGCCGCGCACCAAAGGTCACTCTTACCCAGGGTCACTCTTGCGTGTAGCCGATAAGGGTCGGGGCAGGCTCGAAATTCGAAGCTGTTGCACATGTTTGTCTGTTCTCGGCGGCTTCCCAGCCTCGGGATGCTCGCCAGAAGCTGCGCCTCGCCGAGGACGGTGGAGGCCAGAAGCATGGCCAGAAAACAAGGAGGGACGGGGATAGTCTCCAGGGTCAAGTCGGGCCTGTCCCTCTACAGGGGGAATATTCAAAAATAGTCAAAAAGTAATCTAGGGACGATGTTTTGCCAATTTTTGAGCCTGCTTGGGGCATTGCGGGGGTATCTTAAATTTTTCGCCCAAAATCCACCTGTAGGGGGACAGGCCCGACCTAACTCCAGGGGAGATGTGTCGACTCCAATCGCCCATTCATCGCCAAGCGGGGCTTGGGTGTCCCACCCCTCCCATGAAGGTGCCGTTGCGCTGTCAGGGGCCCGTGGCCGATCTGTCAACACCTGTCGCCATTTCGAGGTCAGCGTTTCCCCGCCCCTCCAGGCCAGTCTTCCCCCACTGGTTCCCTTCATGGATTCAATGTTTTTGTTTCTTGTGCGTTTCTTTGCGGAAGAATTCGCCCAGCTTGCACGCATACAAGTCGCTCCGCGGAAGTGTGAGGAGCTCGGCAGCCTCTGGCAGTCCTCTGGAACATTCCTTAGGTTCTCTTGCGATTTTCACGTTTTCGCCTTTTCAGGCTTCCGACGAACCAAGACGGCCACAGAGGCCCTCCAAATCGGGCCAGGGCCAAGATCGGCGTCGCCCCAACATGTTTACAATGAAGGTGCGTTGCCCCCCCCCCCCCGGGGCGATGCGCGCACCGAGAAATCCTATAGTACATGCGTCGTGGCGGGCACTTTCTGGCCACACCGCCCGGGAAACGATATGGTACAAGATGGGTATACTATGTTCAGGAGGGGAAAACACACACAGACACAATTAATCGTCGATTCCCAAGAAAATCTGGGAAAATATGGGAAGTGGGGGGGAAGACAGAAACCCAGAAAATGTGAGGAAATATGGGGAATCGTTTTATTTGTGTGTACTTATTTGTGTGTCCCAGGGCTCCTTCAATATGGTACAAGATGGGTATATTATGTGTTTGGGTCGGAGGCGCGCCTCCAGGGATAACACAAAAATGCTAGTATGTCTTCGTGCGTCCCAAAAAGACGGCTCAAGAGGCTCCAAGGGCCTGTGATGGGGGCCGAAGGCGGCCCTAAGATTCACCACCCACCAAACCACCCCAACCCAACCCGAAAGCTCAGATTCACCCTCGATTTCCAGTGGGGGGGGGGTCGGTAAACATAGAAAAACACATGTGGAACCCTTACCCCCCCAACCCGAAATTCGGGTCTTCGGGTTGGGTTGGGGTGGTCTGGTAGGTAGTCAAAGATGGCCCCTCGGGCCACCAAGACGGCCCCACGACGGCCCCATAGACCCATAGACCTCCAGGGCGGCCCTCGGGCGCCCACAGAGGGACCCAGGTCTGCACAGCGACGACCCCAAGCCAGCTCCATCTGTCCCTCCCCCCTCTCCTCCTCCATTTGTGCCGCGTCTAGCCGCCACCTCAACCCCCAAGCCGGCTCAAACCTACAGGATGACCCAAAAACGAATATGAAAATCGAGCCAGCCATTGAAAGATATCGATCGCGTAGAAATCGGCAATAACATCGGAAGGCATCGGAATCGTCAGTCGCCAGTCCGAGCTGGCACACATGAGGAAAGCCAATCCAAAGTGGGAACTAGCGTCGAATGGAATCGACATCGGTATCCTTGAAACCGAATCGATTCGTATCGACAGAGTCGACATGGCTCCTGGTTGCCCCCCTTTCCTGAGAGTTGACGCAGCGAAGAAAAATCAGCATCGTGAACAATCGCGACTAAAGCCCCGCACCCCTCTTTCCCGCGCCACTGTCAAGCCGGATCGATCTGTGAGGGCCCCGGGGCCCGACACCGGGCGCAAACGTCCAGCTCGAAAATACTGACACGCCAGATCTCAGAGCCGCAATTGTGGTGGTGGTGTCGCCTGTCCTCCCTCCTCCTCCTCCTCCTCCTCCTCCTCCCTTTCCTCCTCCCTTTCCTGCTCCTCCCCTTCCTCCTCCTCCTCCTCACTCTCCTCGTGCCCTGGCTGGCCGTCATGGGCTGTTCCCCTTCGTGGCAGTCCTGGCCAGGGCCACCCCCAGCGAGGCCGCAGGATACAGCCCCGAGCTATTCGAAGATCCTGACATGTTTATCTCAACAAGGTAATAAGGTTATCAAGTAGGAACCAATGCTCAGCATCGCCATTGTTCCGTTCCGTTCCCTGTTCCTTCTTCTTGATGCTTACTAATCATTCAGTCAGGAGCAACGTCAGGGGGGGATAGACTCAAGGGGGGTTGCATGAGCCTGTTGTTTTGCATTCCAGGGCGATAACGGGCGTCACCTGGGGGAGGGTGGGGAAGGGGGCCGGTGACGTCACGTTTCGCGCCGGCGGCGTTTGGGAATGCCTAGGAATGACCGAGGACGGGTAGGAGCAGCATGTAGATGGCGATCTGCACCACAGCGCTTGTGTGAACCACAGCCTGAGTGCACCACAGCGCCAGTGTACACCACAGCGACTATGTACATCACAGCCGCGTACAACACAGCGCCAGTGTGCACCACAGCGCCTGCGTGCACCACAGCGCGTGTGTGCATCACAGCACCTGCGTACACCACAGCAGCCGCGTGCAACACAGCACCAGTGTAACCCACCGTGCCTGCTTTCACCACAGCGCCTCTGTACACCACGGCACCTGTGTGCACCACAGTAACCGTGCGCAACATAAGCCATTGTTGCGCATTGGTAGAATGGAGCGCCTGTGGACTATGGAGTCCATAGACAACACATTCTATATATAGGAGATGGAAAGGAATCCTAATGGAAAAAGGGGCCCCTTTGGAGTTTAGGAGTCCTCCTGAGTCTTCCCGCATCATCCTGACTCTTCCCATCTGCCGCCAGAAAGCTCCCACACAGAGGTGGCTGTCCGAAAACTAAAAGACATATTCAATCTACAATTTTTCTGGAGGATAGGGAGGAGGTGGAAGGATGAGGGAAGACAGCCGCAGTCTATTCTCAGCACTCCCCTTGCGTGTTGTTTAGCTGTCCGCTGTAGAGCCTCACCGACATCTCCTGGGCAGGCAGGCACTGTGCTGTACACCAGCGCTGTGTTGCGCGCGGATGTTGTGGTGTACGCAGTCGCTCTGGTGTGCACAGGCGCTGCGGTGCACGCGAGCATTGTGTACAGATTCGCTGTGGTGTACACAAGCGCTGTGGTGCACGCAAGCACTGTGGTGTACGCAGGCGCTGCCTTGCACACAAGCGCTGTGGTGTACACAGGCGCTGTGGTGCACACGCGAGATGTGGTGCACGCGAGCACTGTGGTGTACACAGGCGCTGTAATGCAGATCGCCACCTGCATGCTGTTCCAATTTGGCCTCGGTCATCCCTAGGCATTCTCAGACGCCGCCGGCGCGGAAGGTGACGTCACTTGGGGGGGTGGGGCGGGGCTGGTGACCGCCACTGTCGCGGGAAAAAAGAACACACTCCCATCGACCCCCAATGTCCCTCTCGTCGCCGATGGGGGCCTGAGAACCTACCCGGCCCAGGAGCGTGCGGTGTCGCTATCGGGGACTTCTCTCGCGATATTTCGCCGGCTCAAAGTCGGTGTATTTCCCAGCCTGAGCCAGGAGGAGGAGCAGGAGGAGGAGGAGGACGAGGAGGAGGAGGAGGTGGAGGAGGAGGCGAAGGAGGAGGAGGAGGAGAGGACGAGGAGGAGGAGGAGGAGGAGAAGGAGGACGAGGTGGAGGAGGTGGAGGAGGAGGAGGAGGAGGAGGAGGAGGAGGAGCCAGCCTTCTCCTCCTCCTCCCCCCGAGCGTTGCCCCTCGCCCAGGTGCCCGGGCCGGCCTACTTCGGCGAGTCGTGCCTGTGGGTCGACCGCAGGGACTGGGCGCTGCCCGGGCCCAGGTACCAGTACAGCGCGAGCTGCCGCACCCGGGCGGAGGCGCCGGGCGGTCGCCGGCGGCTCTCGCAGGGGTTCTCTTGGCATCGCTCGGACGTGTGCATTTTTTTTTTTCCTTCGGCGAGGACCATCGAGGAGCATCCTTGATCATTTGGCGAAAAAAACCACGTACGAAACCCAGGGAATGGACGTCCAAGCCTGTTCGGGAGCCTTGAGACGGGGGTCAATGCGAACGGGGGTCAGCCAGGGCACCAGATCCTGCAGGATCCTGCGAAGACCCCCTCTGGCTGACCCGGGTCAGCGGGCCGCTCGTGGCCGCGAGGCGGTCGCGCATATCGGCTGACCCGGGTTTGCGAAGATCTGCGTTGCAGATTTTTGTTTCCTGCATTGCAGTTTTTGGTTTCTTGCTGACCCGGGTCTGGATTGACCCGGGTCAGAAGATCCCCGATCTGTGGCCTCGGGGTCGGGGTTTGGCCAGGGCCGCCGCGAAAGTGCGGAGATACAGTCAACCCGCATGGAAGGGACGGGGGAGTTTCCCAAGGGTGCCCCTGCATCCTTCCCTCCTCGGTCCGTCCTTGGCAACTCTCGCTGGCTGCGCCCCGCTCGACGAGCTTCGAAACGGCCTTCCAAGCCCCTTGCATCCACATCGCGGGTCCTCGGGTCGACTGTAGTCGCGCTTCGCGGTCTGGGCGATATCAGAGCGAGGCACGAGTCCCTCATCATGTTCATAGGGGGGGGAGGCGGCGCGAAAGCACGAAGACAATCGCGCTTAGTGCTTCGCGGAGAGCGAAGCGCGACGATGGTGGCCCTGGGGAAGGAAGAGTCCGGGGCTTGAGGTTTCAGGATCGAAGGTCGAGGTTGGACATTCGAGACTGTTTTGCGTTTACAGCCCTTCCCGTCGCCACGGTTGGATTCCCTTCGAGCTTCTGATCAGAAGGCGCCCCTGGGGAGATCTGGGGTCGAGTTTTGACCCCAAGACCCAGACCCCCTTGCTGGTGTCGGTTCGAGGTGTTCGGACTTGTCCGTGGTTTCTGACAGGTGCTCTCGCCCCGGGTTCGTTCCAGCGACTGTGCCTCGCCGAATGCGTTCCGGGGGGCTCGGATCGTCCCGAACCGCCGCGGGAGATCCGAGTTGTGGCTCGGAGGCTAGACATTCGGAGCAGGGCGGGTGTGTTGCTGGGATCGGCGCTGCTCAGGAGAGAAGGGTGTTATCAGTGGATGCCCAAGGGTGAGTTCTGGGCCAGACATAAACCACGCTCCCCACTTCCCTGATCAGCCCCCACGCTGATCCCCATCTTAGCAGGCACGCCGAAAAAGAAGCCAGCATGCCAGCAGGTGCCCGCGGATATTAACACTCCCCGATGACCTGGAATACCCTTGGGAGACATGGTACTTGATGGGCCTCTGGCATTTCATCCTCTCAACAAGCTGGGTTATGTCTTGTTAGGCCGTTATATTGGTCCGTGCAATTCCACTCGGTCAGGACGCTAGAATCAGGACCACTTTAGGCTCATGAGGGGCTATTCGCACCGTTCCTTATAGTACCCAGGTACATAGCACCTCGTAAGTGCGGATAAGAATGAGGGGGCGCTAGGATCGTTGGCAGTCTGCGAATATCTGAGGAAGTCCGCAACAGGTGTAATTTTCTTTACGCGCTACACAAAGAGCCCTCCGAAGGCGCTGATTTTCTCATCACAGAAACGTGGGTGGGTCGTACAGTCGGGGCGCTGAAGAAGGAACCCTTTTCGCTGGGGAGGGGCTCGGTGCTCCTTGATTGTTTAACAGTTTGCCTCAGGTCTTCCTGAGGTTTTCCATTGGACATCGATGTTTAACTTATGAAAAAAAGGGGCCTCGTTCCTTATTTTGGGTCCCTTAGGTCAACGCTCCGACTGTAGGGTGGGTCGCGCTGTGGGTCACGGGGTGGTCGCAGGGTGGTTCGCGGGCGGGTCGCGGGCCAGGACGACAACGCCATTTTGAGGCAACAATCACCCGTACCGCAGAGCCCCACTTCAGCCGCACATCCAGGGACAATGAATGACCGTTCGGCTCCCTCACTCTGATGAGGAACGGCCAGACAATTGGAGCCCGAAGACCTTGGCCACGACATTCTTCCCCAGACGAACAAATCTTGTCCCCGAATCCTCTTCGTGGCCGAGACTCGCCTTGGCCAGAACATACACTCTGCTCCGTAGCGGGCGGGTTGCGGGCGAGGACGCGACAACGTCATATTAAGGCAACAGTAGTCCGCACCGCAGAACCCCATTTCGGCCGCGCATCCAGGGACAATGGATGACCGTTCGGCCCCCTCACTCTGAGAAGGAACGGCCAGGAAGTTGGAGCCCGCAGACCTCGGCCACGAAACTCTTCTCCAGACGAAGGAATTCATTTCCCCGAATCCTCTTCGTGGCCGAGACTCGCCATGGCCAGAAAATGCACTGTGCTCCTTAGCGGGCGGGTCGCGGGCGAGGACGACAACGTCATATTAAGGCAACAGCAGTCCGCACCGCAGAATCCCAATTCGGCCGCGCATCCAGGGACAATGAATGACCGTTCTGCTCCCTCACTCTGATAAGGAACGGCCAGAAAGTTGGAGCCCGAGGACCTCGGCCACGAAACTGTTCTCCAGGCGAAAAAATCTTATCCCCGATCCCTCTTCGTGGCCGAGACTCGCCTTGGCCAGAAAATGCACTGTGCTCCTTAGCGGGCGGGTCGCGGGCGAGGACGACAACGTCATATTAAGGCAACAGTAACCCGCACCGCAGAACCCCACCTCAGCCGCGCATCCAGGGACAATGAATGACCGTTCGGCTCCCTCACTCTGATGAGGAACGGCCAGAAAATTGGAGCCCGAAGACCTTGGCCACGACATTCTTCCCCAGACGAACAAATCTTGTCCCCGGAACCTCGTCGTGGCCGAGGCTCGCCGTGGACAGAAAATACAATGTGCTCCTTAGTTGGGATTCCTCACGGCAGCACGATGGCTGCACGTGCACAATGGAGGCAACCGGCTTACCTGGAGATCCGACGTAGCGAAACGTTGCAACATCGTGAAACATCACGACCAGAGTCCCAGACTCCATCTATCTGCGCCTCGAGCTGGATCGATCTGTGAGGGTCCCGGGGCCTGGAATCGGATGAAAACGCCCGACGCAGCAAAACGAGAGACGCCAGGGTCTCGGGGTACCCCATGCCTTCTGACAGAGGCACGCTCAAGGTGCACTGCTCTCTTGTCCGCAACCATGCAGGCTCGAGCTCTCTTTTGCCGTCTGCAGCTGCCAGCGTTCGCCTCTCGGGCCCAGCGCCCGCGGACGAAGCCCCCTACTGGGCCTTCGCGGCCCGCTCTGCGCGGGGCGCCAGAGGCGGGGGCACAGCAGACGGGGGCACGGGGAGCGCCAATCTCCACGTGTTTACCAGTTTGAAACATATCCCTATCTCTATGTTTGACATCACCTCACCTCGATGCCGATCTTAAGGATTCCCTCAGTTTCTGAGGGCCTATCCCTAAGATTGTCCTCGCTCTTTGCTCGCCCATCTTAGGGATACGGATACGTTCGAGGCTGGTTACGTGTGGCGATGCCCCCGCTCAGGGGGCCCTGGGCGGCGCAGACGGGGGCACGGCAGACGGGGACAGCTGAGAAGGCCCAGGCCCCCGTTTCTAGGGAGCCCCGATCTGCGGCACCGTCGCAGGCCTCTCTGGCTCGCCGCCGCGGCGTCTGCCGCTCGCGGGGCCCCGCCCCCCTCGTATCCAGGGTCGGCTTCGGTGCCCCGTGCCCGCGCGTTTTTTGTTGTTGTTGTTTGTTTTGTAGGTGTTTTGTTGACTGGCTCTTCTTTTTTGCCTCTCTGCCGGCGGAGCACCGCCATCAAGCCTCGGCTTGCGGCGAAGCTCTGGCTTGACATGTTCAGTGGCCAGGCCAGCGTGATCAACATAATTATATATGTCTATGTATATATATATACATATACAGAGAGAGAGAGAGAGAAACACAAAAAGACACAACAACACCGAACTGTTATGTATATTTTTACACACGCATATATATATATATATATATATATATATATATATATATATACATATACATATACAGAGAGAGAGAGAGAGAGTTGTATATATCCGTAAAGGCTTCGCCCCCCTGCCGCCGGCCCCCTCTCTCTCGGAGAATGGACAGTGCAAGAACGAAGTCATGAGGCCTTGGCGCCGCCGTGAAGCGGCGTCGGGACTTCACTCAGAGCGTGAATTACCTACCCCGCTTTCGCTTCCAGGCAAAACCAAGCCATACCACGCGCCTCCTCGTCAAGCGGCCTGACCAGTACAGGCTGGACTTTGGCATCGTTTGGTATCTCTTGGAAGCGAGGGTGGTCAAAAGCGAGGTAGGTTTGTTTTCCCCTTATTCACACAAAGACGATGAGTAATCGGCAAGACAAATTGAGATTCTGATGATCTTGTTGAATTCGGCGTTGCGTTTCGAGGTTGCTCGCGCATGCTGTGCAAACATCTTTTCTACGAAGGTTATTGAAATGTTGCAGATCACATGTGTTTCTTGACCCTGACCCCGCCGATCTGCGTGAGGTGTGCCACCGGATTTCAAGACATGTGGCAAATCCCATGGGTTTTTCGACCCTGACCCCGCCGATTTGCGTCAGGGGTGCCGCTGAATTTTTAGAAATGTTGCAAATCCTACAGATTTTTCGACCCTGACCCGCCGACCTGCTTGAGGGGTGCCGCCGAATTGCAGAAATGTGGCAAATCCTATTGGTTGCCCGTCCTGGACCCGGCGATCTGCGTGAGGGGTGCCGCCGAATTGCAGAAATGTGGCAAATCCCGTAGATGTTTCGACCCTGACCCCGCCGATCTGCGTGAGGGGTGCCGCCGAATTGCAGACATGTGGCAAATCCCCTAGATGTTTCGACCCTGACCCCGCCGATCTGCGTGAGGGGTGCCGCCGAATTGCAGAACTGTGGCAAATCCTATTGGTGATTCGACTCTGACTCTTCCGATCTGCGTGAGTGGCGCCACCAAATTGTAGAATTGTGGCAAATTCA